TTTTCTTCAACATTTTCCATCCCCATTAGGTTACTGCATCAATCCCTTAGTGAAATCATAGTTAAGTAGCCTACACCACAACTTTTACTAATACCATTGTTTGTTCCTCAAAATAGCGTAAACATGCATGGTCAAAAGCAGAAGTTACTGGAAAAGTTCAGCAGGTCAGGCAGCATCTGTGAAGAAAAAAATCAGAGTTAACTGAGAACTGTTCTGAGGGAGAGTCACTGGACCCGAAACGTTAACTCGGAATTTTCGTCACAGACGCTGCCAGACCTGCTGGGCTTTTCCAGCAACTTCTGTTTTTGTTCCTGATTTACAGCATCCACAGTTCTTTCAGTTTTTAAATATGCATAGTACCTCCCTCTGGCAGAAATATAGGGACATTGCAATAGGGCAATAGCCACGAGGCTGATTCTTAGGTGATAGGGCTGAGTTATCAGGAGTGAAGGAGAAACCTGAGGTTTTCCTGCTCTGAAAGGTGGGAAATGACCAGTGACCTGAGATAGTATACAGTGGGTGAATCCAGAAAGTTACCGTTAGATTTCAAGCTTCCTCTCAATATCTTTAAATCATCTTTACAGTAAAATGCAGTTTCTGTAAGGAAATCTATGTCTCCCAGGAGTATAAACATATGATTGTGTGACTTGTATCCCAGGTCTAACATCCATTCATTTGCACAGTTTTCAGCACAGACACCAAGTTTTTCCTCGCAACATAGTACCTGCTCCAAAAGGGAGGGAATGCTTGGCTGCCAGGCCATAAAGTTGAGGCTAAACTCTGGTGTGTATTCCCAGTGCCGCATGTGACAGGAACAAACAAGGCAGCAGCCACTTATTTTCTGAGAGCTAATACCCAATAAAGTTCATCCAGGTGGAAACTTTGCCATCTGCATCATCATTTACTTGACACAGTGGCAGATGTCATAAGGATCTTTCAGTCATCTTCCTGCCATCAAACCTGAAGCTGTCAATTCAATACTTAAATGAATTGAGTTTGGTACAAATGATCTTAGGAATCTCAGCAACCAAGGTCACAAGTATGGATTTATCATTTTTTGTTGTTGTTTGTTTTGTGGTTTAATACTCTTTCTTTTTCTACTGTTCCTGAGAATAGTAAGTGCTGTACACCAGGCAAAGCTTTGCACCAGGTGCTGGAAAGCAGGATTAGAACGGGTGGTTAATTTGTTTTTCATCTGACACCAACACAATGGGCTGAATGGCCCGTTCTAGTCCTAAGGTAATCAATATTTTAACAGGTTCATTTTACAGGCAATGTGTTTTGTATTCAGAAGCACAACCTTTTAACAGTGTTTAGTGTGATGGTGAAGAAGGTCATCACTTAATTGCAGTTCATCTGACCTGCTCATGATGACTGTGGTATAATTAAAACCCACATTCTATCTTCCCATGAGAATAACGTATCAGAAATAATTTAGTGTGTAAAGACAATACAGCAAAATGTAAATGCAGGCACCAGCAATTGGGAAAAATTAGTCTCATATATTATTAGTCCCACAGTTAATAAAGAACAAATATATCTTTTAAAATACTTTCAATTTGCTAGCCCTTTTCCTCTTCTAAAATGGTGGTTTTGTGTAAAATAATTTAATTTTTTTGGAGTTTAAGATCCGCACTATGGGGTATTGAAATTCATCTTCAAGTTGTTAATATGAATTTTGAAATGAATCTTGTTTCTTTTTTGACAAGCACTTATTTTATGAAGAAGGGGTCCTCCCAGGTCTCCATCTGCCCCTCCCAGGCCTCTAGCAGATCTGCATGGCTAGTGTTCTGATTCATCCGTAACCCTTGTGCACATCAGGTTGAGAAGGGCAGTCATGTTGTATTAGCATCAAGCACTCAAGTCAGATCCAACTTATCAGATGCAGCGTAAACAAAGAATGCCCATTCTGTCCCCAGAGGGTGTCATAGGAATATTGCAATGTTAGTTTCTGTCACATGTTTCAGTCACAATTTGGGTTTTCCCACAGATGAGGAGGACCCAATTGACTAGGTTGTCTCTAACTGAGAGAATATCCTCAGAGAACTATACGTCGACTGAACTCAGAAGGAAGCTGTTCAGTTCAACATGCTTGAGCCTGACAGACTACAACTGATATTACATTCACTCTGCCAGGTTGGCTCACTGCCAGTCAGTGCTGAAGTTTGTCTTCATGGGATACATTTAAATACATCAGTATCTTCCTCCCTGCGCTTCGAGTTAGTGTTAATTTAACAATGTGAGTTTGTGAACGTACACTGGAATAGTAGGAGAAACAAAACAAAAATAACTATTGCATTTACATGTATTCTAAATATTTTGCTTATAAAATTAACCTATTGAAAAAAAATAGAAGAGGATAGGACCAGAACAGGCTATTCAGCCCATTGTTCACAGATTTGTAGCTTACGGAGCTTCAGGTGCAAGTATCCAGGTATCTTTCAAACAAGTTGAGGGTTTCTGCCTCCGCCATCAAAATCAGGCAGTGAATTCCAGACACCCACCACCTTCTGGATGGAAACATTCTCGTGTCCTATCAAATCCTCCCGACAACCACTTTAAATCTGTGCCCCTGGTAACTAACATCTACACTAGAGGAAGCAGGTTTTCCCTGTGCACTCTATCCAAGCCCACCTTTGTTTTGTACACTCCAATTAAATCAGACCTTAGCCTCCTCTGGTCTAGAGAAAACAACGCTAGCCTATGCAAGCTGTCCTCTTAGCTGTAATTTTCAAGCCCTGGCAACACTATTGTAAATCTCCTCTGTAATCAAAACAATTATATCCTTCCTGTAATGTAGTGATAAGATGGTTCACAAAGTTTCAGCTGTGGCCTAACCATATTTTATGCAGTTCCAGCATCACATCCTTGTTTTTGCATTGTATACCTTGTTCAAAAAAAGAAAGCATCTCATAGGCTTTATTTACCAGCTTATCTACCTGTGGGCATGCACTGCCAGGTCTCACACTTCCTTTACCATTCTCAACATTAGACCATTTATCGTACATTCACTTGCACTGTTTGCCCACCAAATATATTACTGAACACATTACAAGACTGAATTCAATTTGTCACTTTTCCATCCACTCAATCAAAACGTTAACATAATTCTGGAGTCAAACATCCTCTTCATTATCAACTACAAGGCCAAGTTTTTGTAAAGTTCCCAATAATGCCTCCCACATTTATGACCTACAGATTAATATACAATAAATTGCGAACTTTGAGCCCTGAGAAATGCTACCAAAAACAGCCTTCCATATAGAAAAATATCCATTACTCTTAGTGTCTGCTGCCAACTCACCACATTTTCCTGCATACTTTTCACTTTCGCTTTTCTGACTTACTTAAAGTCCATGCAGACAACATCCACTATACTACCCTCAATTGTACTCGTTAGTTCCTCAAAAATTCAACTAAGTTGGTAAGTCATGGCTATCCCTGAACAAATCCATGCTGACTACCATTTATTAATCGATGCTTTACAAAGAGACAGTTCATCTTGTCTCTCAGAATTGATCGAATAATTTGCCAACCACCAAAGTCAGGCTGACTGGTCTATAATTATTTGGTGTATCCCTCACACCCTCCAAACCCCTGGTACCTGACCTATAACCGGTGAGGATTGAAAAATTATCCTCCGAGCATATGTAATTTCCTCCCGGACTTCTTGAACAGCCTGGGATACAATGCATCCAGCCCTGGTGATTTATCCAACTTCAAAGATGTCAGTCCCTCCAGTACTTCGTCTTGCATTATGCTTATTGTAGCTTGTATTTGCTTCCACTGGAATGTTTGTCATTCTTTGTGATGACAGAGACAAAATACTTATTAAGTATCCTGTCCAATATTTTTAAATATCCTCCCTTTCCTTCTTTATTATGCCCACTGGGGTATTGCACTGGAAATCAAGACCAGCTATTCCAGGAATTATCACAAAAATTAAAGGTGCATAAAAAGTAGCCAGAATTCATCAGCTTACCAGTCTTTTACACCGAGGTTGATGGAAAGCACAAACTAGACTCCTGTACTTTACATAAATTACTACTTATTACAGGTAAATAGAATGCAGCGAGAAATCAACACTTATGAACCATCGGCATAGAACTCTTAATTAAAGCTCGAGCCCCTTTTAAAACTCTCCCTCCACAGCACACAGACAGGCACAGAAAGACATTAAAAAAAGTGCCGTGAGCAGACAGAAAGACTGGGAAGGCAATTCAACTGTCCTTGACTACACGGTTCACTGAGATGATCTTTTTGCCTCGTCAGAAGCTGCTGTTCCTCATTAGTATTAAATATTATAACTTGTTTTGACAAGTGGTAGGAGTGTTAAATTTGCTTCTACAGCAGGTACTCGAGGCAAATAAATGGAAGAAAAATCTAAATAAGCACATGGGCAAGAAAGAACAAAGGATATGCTGCTAGAGTGAGATGATGTAGGGTAGGAGGGTAGAACAGCATAGAATACGAGGGCTGTAACGCCTGTTTCTCTGTTTTAAACTAAACAATTCTATGTAACACAATGTAATATGTAGCCTCAATATCTTATCACTTCGACATATTATTTAATGTATTAATTTTAGGTTGCATACAGTCAGCGTGGAAAGGAACATGATTGACATTCCACATGAGATTCAGTGACCAGTACTGCAATGAGGGAGTAGCTACTACGTTTGAGCACACAATCTCAGATGTATCTGTAACAATAGCTCAGGTTTTGGATGACAGGAAATATGTTACTTTGTTTGTAGAAACCACCCAGTTGCCATTGGACAGAAATAGTGGAAGACAAAACAGAAGTTCAGAAATCAAAGTTAATTCTCTTCGTAGGAATCCAAGTAGATTTCTCATCACAGCCGATTTTTTTTAGATGGGACAAAAATTAACTATTCTCTTGACATGGAAAAGAACTTGTGCCTGGTTGAAACATATAACATGATGTGCAATACATAGTTAAAGAAACATAAGTGTGCACATTAAAAGCAGAATTCCTCTGATTAGGTTTTCAGCCAGACATTTTCTTGTGTTTATTTTATTTGGGCCATCTGAGAGATCTTATGTCCTAACAATCCTTCTCAATTTCTGACAGACAATATAACTCCTTGTAGATTCAAATTCTACACATCACCTTCAGCACAGTTACAACTCAACAGTTCACTTTCTGTATCTTTTGTCTCTGTAAAGTCATTAAACCACCACTTAATTGCAAAAAGCAATTTCTACCAGTTCAAGTTGTACAAATTGCTTTCAGCCTGATGGAACACATCAGGCAAAAGTGAAATGTTCGATAATTAACAGCAAGAAAAATTCATCTTTTATCAGTTTTTCTGCACAAAAAATACTTCATTCTTCCTCAGTCTCATCCTTTAATTTCACATCTATATGTTGATAGAATCTCCAAGCCTTCAGGTTGCAGTTTTTCAACATGGTCCCAAGCTGGGTCCCTGGACCTACCTCATATGTATCTGGAAAATCAATCCCCTGTTCTCGTTCATACATAGCATGCATAGTTTGTTCCCATTTTACAGGCATCACCAGCTGTTTCACCAAAAGTTGCCGAATGTGTTTACTGTTCATGTATTTTTTGGCATCCACGTTGGAGTAGACCGATATCAGAGGTTTCTCAATGCTGATTTCCTTCAAGATATTACGGAGTGGCTCAGTTGCTGATGCCATGAGGCGGGTGTGGAAGGCACCGCTGACTGGCAGAAGTTTAGTTCGCAGAAAGTGGAACTTTTGGCAATTCTGCTGCAAATATTTAAGAGCCTGTGTCAAAAGAAAAGTACTTTTTGAATCTCATCATTGCAGTTACTTCACTCAGAATGTATTTTTTTATTAACCAAAGTGGTAATGAAGATCAATATTACTGAAAAATGTTTTGTCATTTGTGAACGAATCCCAGGTTGTTAAAAAGTAGCAAAGATGAATATAACATAAGTAAAAGTCACAACCTTTCACTCCTCTTTGGGAAAAGGCATTGAGCACAAGGCGGGAAGGATTGTTTTAAATCACTATTAAAGCAAAGGAAGCAGGATTAGACAAGGAAAAACTTGTCTATGGAAGAGGAATGGGAATTGCAGCTGAGCATTATCCTCAGTCAATCTAATGCTTATAAGTAAACTTTCCATTGGCAGCCATTGGATAGCTATTAGACACAGGAGCTGAGAGTAGTTTTCCTCTTCCATTCATCATGGTCAAGCTAAACTAACTCAGCACTGGTTGCAGGCTGAATATGGGAGTTTTCAGCTCTCACTGACTTGCCTGTTTGTACTGCTTAATAAAAGGTCACATTAAACATGCAATTAAAATATTGAGTGTAGTGAGTGAACTTTGAAACCCTGCAGTACAGGTGAAGTGTAGTAATATCAGAAAACCAAATGCTGATGTTGATTCTGAAGCAATCTAGTCATCCAGGTAAAATGTGAGGCAGATCATTTTACATTTTGAAGGAGAGATCTGAAATACCATGCTAGTGAGGTCACCGATGGGCCGGATTTTATGTACTCGCTCTGCTGGGTTTGAAGGTAGAGGGAAAATTCAGGGGGTGTCCTTGCTGTTGCTTTCCTACCCACCTCAACCTATCTAAAGTTTTAAAGGGGTAAATGGCATCAGTCAACCAGCCAAAAACCTCCAGCCCAAAAGTCTATCCATAAGCAGAATGGAAGATGAAGAAAACTAAGACTGAATGGCAATCTGCTTCCGAGCCTCACTTTCGTGTGAATTCCACTAATGCCAGCTCAGAGTGGCCATCACCAGAGGAGGACACATAGTCAATGTTAGTCAAATTCATCAGCCCTGATGCCCCCACTTTCCTGGGACCAGGACCTGGAGTATCACCTTCATCACGCTCTTACTTTGCTGCTCAAATGAGGTGGTAAAGAAAGGTTCTATCAGTTGTCTGTTTCTTGGCACATGATGATCATTTTCATTAATTACACATATTTAAGTTAGCAATTTATGTAAATTTTGTATTTTTTCAAAACCACATTTAATGTTATAATAAACTTTATATTTCCTAAGTTTTCTCAATTGCCTGGGAGTGAGAGAAAAACTGTAACGTGCTCTCCATGCAAAAAGGCTAGGCAACACTGTTTAAACATTTGAAACTCAGTCAAGCATTCATAATAACCTCAACTGTGAAACCAGACCCTTCCAAATAAAACAATTCAGTTTACTGTAACAGGAAAAACCGATGCCCATGTTTTTTGTTTCCTTTACATTTTACCAGATGGCCTGTCATGTATTGCAGACCAGAAACAGGTGTCTGCTTTTTCTAATTGAAAGTTGCAAAATATTTTTTGTCTTCAAAAATTTAAAGGACTTTTGGATTTTTAAATATTTTCAAATCATGAGACCAGAGTACCCAAGCAATGTTTCCGTCAACATTAATGCATTACAGCACCCATCTCATTTGGAAAATATCCTAATATCTTTCAACATTTGCCCAACACTGATCAATGCTGGCTCAGTGGCTCACACTGCTGTCTCACAGTGCCAGAGACCCAAGTTTGATTCCACTCTCGGGCAGCTGTCTGTTTGGAGTTTGCACATTCTCCCCATGTCTACGTGGGTTTCCTCTGGGTGCTCCGATTTCCTCCCACAGTCCAAAGATGTGCAGGTTAGGTGGATGCTAAATTGCCCATAGTGTCCGGGGATGTGGGGTTAGGTGGGTTAGTTGTGGAAAATGTAGTGTTATGGGGATAGGGTAGAGAGGGGGGTTTGGGTGGGATGCTCTTCAGAGGATTGGTGCAGACTCGATGGGCTAAATGGCCTGCTTCCACACCACAGGAATTCTATGATATGAATTTAATGATCAAGTTACTTTTGGGGGACAAAGTCCAATAATGAACCTTAGCTACAAAAACACATCTAACCTGTGATAGAGAATCCAACTACCAAAATGGAAAAATCAGTCTTTTTGTACTTCGAAGCCTGTCAAGGAAAGAATTGCAGGTTACTGTTTTTGGTATCCTCCTTGGGACTGGAGTTCCTCCATGGTTCACGACTCCTTTGAGAGGCCCTGACATAAGTGTTCTTACGGAAGTACAAGGTTTAACCCACCCACCCTTGCAATGCAACCAGAAAGAACAGGAGTGCTGCACGCAGGCTTGCTGTCTCATCCTTATCCTGCTCGACAAACATTCCTGGAAACAGGAATGGGAATAGAAACGAGATTCCCACAAACAGGGTCCTGCCCATCATTTTTAAAAGAGCTCCAAAATCAGTCAAACTCTTTGAAAATTCAGACCCTCTTCTCACCTTTGAATAAAATAAGTGCACCGAACAAACCAAAATACTTCTTAATCACTTTAGATTTTGCCAAGTGTTTTCTGATGTAATATCACTTTGTGGTCATCAGATGGCAACACTGCATCAAATGGAGATTTAGATAACATTTCTTTGCAAAGAATAATCCCTTGTAGAATTTACTAATTTTTTTTTAAGGGTCTGAAATTACTTTGCTCCACATCCACATATAGGTTGCACTTTCTTTTAAAAGAAATTTTTGGGATGTGCCCTATTGCCAACGAGAAAGTGATGAGCTATCTTCCTGAACCACTTCAATCCATGTGGTGGACACCCATGTAGTGTAGGTACCAGCACTTTTCTCTGTCACTGGTTGATACAGCTGAGTGCCTTGCTCGATTGTTTCAAAGGGCAGTTAAGAATCGAATGCCTGGCTGTAGCTTTGGAGTCACATGTAGGCCAAACCAGGTGAGAATAACAGAATTCCTTCCCTGAAGGAAATTAGGTGTATTTATGACAATTTCAGCATTGTTAAATAATCTGAATTTTAAATTCCCCCAAGTCAAGATAGCTAGATTACTATTAACATTGCCATTATGTTGCAGTCCTCCTTATTGGGACAGCAAATTTCTCTCATTGTCCCTTTGCCAATGGCCAGATTAGTAACAGAGTTCATTTCAGCAAGGAGGAAGGTGATCCTGCACCATTCAGGTAAAGGAACTGATAAATGTTACTGACAGCAAAAGACTGGGCTATTGTAATCAAGAAAGGCAAAATGTTTGAACTGGGAATTGAAAGTGATGAGAACATTGCAAAAGTTACTTTCAAAAGCCATAATTGTCAGCTGTGACCAAAGTAGCTGCGAACCATTATAATTCTTTGAAAATTACATGTGGCCATACATATATCTCTCTGAAATTTGACTCTACACTGTGCTTAAATACAGTTGTTCACTGTGAATTAAAGACTTAAAAGGTCCAACACATTTTTCTTATGCTTGTCATTGAATGTGTTGATATAATGATAAAATTGCATTGCCATTTGCTTTTTTGGCCCAAACAATATTATTTGGTCATACCTTTAATTGACCTTAAATACACTGATATTTGAGAAGAAAGTATAATTTATGTCTCTGACTCAACACTGAATCAGTTTAATGTATGTGTGATTCATCTAGAAGAAAAGAATTTCACATTTCCACTGCTTACCTGTAAATTTCCAGCAATCACGCGTCCATTGGGAAAGAGGTAGTTAGCCACTTCACACACAGGATCCTCGATTCCCAATGTCTTGCAATGTTCTTGAGCCTCCAGGCAGGCATACTTGAATTTGGATTCCGCCTGCCCCATAACAGATAACATGCCACTGGGAATGGATTCTGATGCCTCCTGCATAGCCTCTGCCCGCACTTTCACTGCATGGAGAGCTGTCATAGAGAACAACACTGGTAAACACAGCTTCGATTTCAAATTATTCACTTTCATTTCATGTTCATCGCCTGCCAGATTTCACAAATAGAGGAATGGGAACAGAGAAAAATCTAAGTTGGGTGGTTGATGATGCATTAAGGTTCATAGAAGAGAACTGGCATTTACAGGGCGAATATTAAAAAGAAAATGAGGACCCCAAATATAGCAAAGCTACAAAAATAAAGTTTAGAAAGTTTGACAGGGAATTTCAAACAAAGTTAAGAAAAAAGCATGAATGGTAATAAATTTATTTTCAATAAATGCATTGATTAAATCCAAGTGAGGCCATCATAGAGGTTAAACACATTATTGCCTCAGTTTTAAAGGAGTTGGGTATTGAGATTGTTAAACCAAAAGAAGTGCGTGTACAACAAGTGCAAGTAGTGTAAAAGTAGAGCAAGGTGCTATTAAGAGAGAAGTAGTCTCAATTAAGTTACTTAAACTACATATTAGATAAATCACATGGAGATAGATTATATCCAAAGATCATGGTGTAGTAAGTCAGGAAATGGTGTAAAATTCGACAACAATGTTCCAAAATTCTAAGCTTGCTTTTACACAGTACTACTCATGAGGACAGAGCTACAACGGGCTGGTGAGCTGTACTTATTTGTTGCAATGTTGGAAAATGCACCAGCCAATTTCCACACAAGAAAAGGTCCCCCATACAGCAATGAGATAAATGATGAATTAAAATGTTGTTGGAGGGACAGATATTGGCTAAAACACTAGAAAGATCAACTTACTCATCTTCAGAAGTAATAGGGTTGTTGTCATGGGTGACAGTCAACTTCCCTAATATAGACTGGAACCTCCTAAGTGCAAACTGTTTGGATGGAGCAGATTTTGTCAGGTGTGTCCAGGAAGGATTTCTGACTCAATACGTAGATAGGCCGACTAGAGGGGAGGCCATATTGGATTTGGTGCTTGGCAACGAACCAGGCCAGGTGTCAGCCCTCTCAGTGGGACAGCATTTTGGTGATAGTGATCACAACTCCCTGATCTTTTCTATAGTCATGGAGAGGGATAGGAGCAGACGGTATGGGAAAGTATTTAATTGGGAGAGGGGGAATTACAATGCTATTAGGCAAGAACTGCGGAGCATAAATTGGGATCAGATATTCTCAGGGAAACGCATGACAGAAATGTGGAGGTTGCTTAGGGAGCAGTTGCTACAAATACTGGATAGATTTGTCCCACTGAGGCAAAGAAGGGATGATAGTGAAGGAACCTTGGATGACAAGACGTGTGGAACATCTAGTCAAGAGGAAGAAGGAAGCTTACTTAAGGTTGAGGAAGCAAGGATTGGACAGGGCTCTAGAGGTCTACAAGGTAGCCAGGAAGGAACTGAAGAATGGACTTAGGAGAGCTAGAAGGGGGTATGAGAAAACCTTGGCTAGGATCAAGAAAAACCCCAAGGCGTTCTATGCTTATGTGAGGAACAAGAGGATGGCCAGAGTGAGGGTAGGGCCAATCAGGGATAGTGGGGGGAACTTGTGTGCGGAGTCAGAAGAGGTAGGGGAGGTCCTTAATGAATACTTTGCTTCAGTATTCACCAGTGAGAGGGACCTCGATGCTTGTGAGGACAGCATGAAACAGGCAGATATGCTCAAACAGGTTGATTTAAGAAGGAGGATGTTCTAGAAATTTTGAAAAACATGAGTCCCATGGGCCAGCCCAGATATACCCAACGTTACTACGGGAAGCAACAGAAGAGATTGCTGCCCCTTTGGCGATGATCTTTGCATCCTCACTGTCCACTGGAGTAGTACCAGATGATTGGAGGGTGGCAAATGTCATTCCTTTGTTCAAGAAAGGGAATAGCGATAATCCTGGGAATTACAGGCCGGTCAGTCTTACTTCTGTGGTAGGCAAGTTATTGGAGAGGATTCTGAGAGATAGTATTTATGATTATTTGGAAAAGCACAGTTTGATTAGAAATAGCATGGCTTTGTGAGGGGCGGATCATGCCTCACAAGCCTTATTGAATTCTTTGAGGATGTGACAAAACGCATTGATGAAGGCAGAACAGTGAATGTGGTGTATATGGATTTTAGCAAGGCATTTCATAAGGTTCCACACGGTAGGCTCATTCAGAAAGTAACGAGGCATGGGATTCAGGGAAATTTGGCTGTCTGGATATTAAACTGGCCGTCCGGATACTAAACTGGCCGTCCAATAGAAGACAGATGGTGGTAGTAGATGGAAAGTATTCAGCCTTGAATTCGGTGACCAGTGGTGTTCCGCAGGGATCTGTTCTGGGACCTCTGCTCTGTGATCTTTATGAATGACTTGGATGAGGAAGTGGAAGGGTGGGTTAGTAAGTTTGCCGATGACATTAAGGTTGGTGGAGTTGTGGACAGCGTGGAGGGCTGTTGTAAGTTGCAACGGGACATTGACAGGATGCAGAGCTGGGAAAAGAAGTGGCAGATGGAATTCAACCCAGAAAAGTGTGAAGTGATTCATTTTGAATGCAGAATACAGGGTTAATGGCAGGATTCTTGGCAGTGTGGAGGAGCTGAGGGATCTTGGGGTCCACGTCCATAGGTCCCTCAAAGTTCTACCCAAGTTGATAGGGTTGTAAAGAAGGCGTATGGTGTGTCGGCTTTCATTGGCAGGGGAATTGAATTTAAGAGCCGCGAGGTTATGCTGCAGTTCTATAAAACTCTGGTTAGACCACACTTGGAATATTGTGTTCAGTTCTGGTCACCTTATTGTAGGAAGGATGTGGAAGCTTTAGAGAGGGTGCAGAGGAGATTTACCAGGATGCTGCCTGGACTGGAGGGCAGGTCTTATGTGGAAAGCTTGAGGGAGCTGGGTCTTTTTTCATTGGAGTGAAGAAGGATGAGAGGTGACTTGATAGAGGTGTACAAGATGATGAGAAGCATAGATAGAGTGGATAGTCAGAGAATTTTTCCCAGGGCGGAAATGACTATTACGAGGGGGCATAATTTTAAGGTGATCGGAGGAAGATATAGGGGAGATGTCAGAGGTAGGTTCTTTACAGAGAGAGTGGTGGGCGTGTGGAATGCACTGTCAGCAGTGGTAGTGGATTCAGATATTAGAGACTTTTAAGTGACTTTTGGATAGGCACATGGAGGATAGTAAAATGTAGGGTACACAGGGTAGTTTGATCTTAGTAGAGTAATAGGTCAACACAACATCGTGGGCCGAAGGGCCTGTACTGTGCTGTACTGTTCTATGTTCTATGTTCTATGTTCACTCATCCTGAATGTTGTAAATGGGAATCTCATTTATGCACTACTCTAGAGTTTTGATTTTATCTTTCATAGTCTCACCTTCAGCAAAGTCTATTGCTCCTGCAAAGACCAAGGCAGCAAACTCTCCCACACTGAATCCTGCTGCTCCAACACATTTCTCAACAGCCTAGAGACATAAAAAGACAGTCAGAACTTAGCAACATGAAAAATGAAAATCCAAAATAGATAGTGTACAGTGAACTAGATATCTACACAGTTCCAAGCCCAAAATTAACTGTTAACTCTGATTAGAATGGCAATCATTTTATTAGAGCTCACAAGTGTTTCAAAGCGAAGTAAAAGGAAAATTAAATTAATTTTAATTCCAGTCCCTCCAGTGCCCGTCAGAGATGGAAAGCCTCAAGTGTACCAACACCAAAATTAACTATTAGCTCCCTGACAAAGCAAAGAAAATGAATACCTCTTCCTACCACCATCACCCACACCTCCATGGTCATAAATCAACACCAATTTATTCTCACTTGCTTAAATAACACGGAGCCCACAAACCAGCAATGACCCTGGATAAATCTCCAGTTTTGTGTTCACTTCTAAAACTCATAAAAGATAGTAATAGAACTACTTTTACTGACTTCACTGACTTTAAAAAAAAGAAAGAATGGGCTGGAGTTTGTACTGAGAACTATATGGGCATTGAGTGCGTCTGGTTTAGTTTAGCCCTGCTGCTGGTATTCATAATCTGGGCTCATAAACAATGTACAAAGTAAAGTACTTCACAAAACACGTGAGAGTATGCCCAGCTACATACACGGCCAGTTGTCTGTTCAATGTTGCAAAGAGCTGCAGTAAGAATGTCCATTTCCATAGATAGCACTGAGTTGTTGATCACAGTCATATTAACATACTGCACAGTAAGAGGAGGAGGAAAAGCCACAAGATGGATGAATTATCAAGCAGCATTTTTAAAAATCCTACAGCCACCTGAGCATGCACTAACACCAAATGCAAAAACACAGAATTGCCAAATGGTGGAGGATGGAAAACCACCCAATATTGCACTTTCTGCATGTCATATGTCTGCTTCTGACTGAATCACTGTACAACTACAACATCTTCCATTTATATAGCACACTTAATGTTGTAGAACATCTTTTACAATGCTTTGTCCAAGATGCCACAAACAAAAGCAAACTCCACTGAACAGCAGGTCTGAGTATTAGATCCAAAACAGAACAGTATGAGAAATTGGAGAGAGCTTGAGAAAAAGTGCAGCTATGAATGTAGAAGCAAGTGCAGGACAGAGGGAATCTGACTGGTGGAGCAGAGAGCATAGGAGACAGGAAAAAAGTCAACAGCAATTAAAAGTCATCACCCAATGAGCTCAACCTGTCAAGTCCAAATAGACACACAACCTATGAGGAAGATGATCAAGGGGTTTACTCTCAATGAGCAACTAATACTTTCTGTTGGGTTTAGGGCGCAGATTGGGTTGGTCATTGCATATATGTAGCAAGGTTACTGAAAACTACCTTTAGCATTGAATGAACCACATATACCTGCCTGCAAACTATTTCTAACCTAGTCAGTAGTAAAGGATGAGAGACCAGATTCTGAGAGCATAATTTCACAATTTGGTGAGATGAAATGCTGTTTATGATCCGACTCTAGATTTTTAACTGTGGACATGTTTCTCAATCTCCTTTCACATTTCGTTGAAAGGTTGTACATTTATGTCAGGAAAGAGAAACTAACAGTCCAAGTGTGGGTCTTGTGAGTAGAGAGAGAGTGCAACCAGTGAAAAAGAAGTTATAATGAGCCCATGTGAAAGTAGAATTCAAATGGGACATGTGCATAGAGAACATGGAACTAGAGGACAGGTACAATCAGACTACTGAAAGCTGAGTGAGAACAGAAGAGGTGTGTTGGAATGTGAGGAGAAAGAGAATGGGACATGCAAGTAGAGAAAGGTTAGTTGGGTGTGTCAGAGTAGAAATAGTATGGGACCTGTTCGAAAAGAGATGGATATGTACCAATGAAAGGTGGAGATGAAATAGACAGCTTTTGAGAAGAACAACTGTGGCAGTCACTAACACAAAAGCACAGGTAGTCCTGTTATAACACATGTTTCAATGAAGCAAATTGGCTGTAACGTGATTGATGAGTAATGGACGCCGTCTGGATAATGCAAGCTTTCTGCAGTACGGGTATAGCGATTTCTCTATAATGCGATTTTTTAATGGTGCAATTTTCTATAGCACGAGGCACACGAGAATGCAACTATCTAAGGTTTTGGAGTAGATTTGTAGCTCGGGTTGTGGGTGTTGTGGTTGGTTGGCTCGCCGAGCTGGTTTGTTGTTCCGCAGACGTTTCATTACTGTGCTGGGTAACATCATCAGTGCAGCCTCTGATGAAGCGTCAGTGTGTTTTCCCACCTGGTTTTTAAACTCTGGAGCCCCTTGAGCTGGATTGCCTCACTTCCGGTTTTCCTTCGTAGTGGAGCGTATATGGGGTCGAGTTCTATGTGTTTATTGATGGCTTTCTTCGTGGAATACCAGGCTTCTAGGCTCCTGGGACAAGCTAAGCAGAGACAGGCACGGGAATTCCTAGAAGCCTGGTATTCCACGAAGAAAGCCATCAATAAACACATAGAACTCAACCCCATATACACTCCACTACACAGGAAAACCAGAAGTGAGGCAATCCACCTCAACGGACTCCAGAGTTTAAAAACCAGGCGAGAAAACACACCGATGCTTCATCGGAGGCTGCACTGATGATGTTACCCAGCAGGGTAATGAAACGTCTGCGGAACAGCAAACCAGTTCGGCGAGCCAACCAACCACAACAATGCAACTATCGCTCAGGACCCGTCCTGCCTCCTCTAATTGAGTATTAGAGTTGGGACATTATGCAACTACCTGCAATGTTTTCTTTTAGATGGAGTGTGCAAACACAGTACAGCTTGGAATTTATTGTTCATTGTAAGAAAACAGGTCAGCCTCCACGTTGTTAAAGTTCACCCGTGGACAAGGTAGCAATGATTGGAAGGATTTGAGCCAGCTTAGTACACAGAGAAGTCAGAGAGACCATTGATACCAAGATGTTTCATTCAGCATTATCAAATAAGATTTGACAAAAACACCCATGTTAGGATATATTAGGGTAGGTCAAAGAAGAAGGTTAAAGAACATTTTAAAACAGAAGAAAGCACAAAGTGGTGGATTGGTTTTAGGAGGCAATTCAGAGTTTAAGGTCTTGGTGGGTAAAAGGTCAGAAGTGGAGTACAACAGTGCTGAAAGTGTGGCGTTTATACAGATATGGAGGGACAAAAGCAGGAGAGGGCTGAAAACAGTGGAGGCTTTGTTGCTCTGGAGGATAATGCAGGGCAGTATGCAAGGTGCAAGGTGAGAATGTAGATTAGTGAGAGTTAAGATATGAGCCACACAGATTTGGATAAACTCAAGTTTACAGACAGTGCATGATGGGAGTCCAGCAATGGAAGAGTTCGGTCTGGAAGGTAACAAAGATATCAATAAGGATTGCGATAGTAGATAGCATCAAGACAGGCACTGTTAGAGAGGTTGAAATTGGGAGCCTTGGTGTTTAAGCAGTAATGGGATCAAATGTTTGGCACAGAGACAAGTAGAAAATTGCCAAAGTTCCAAACAATCTATTTTTTTTGTGAAGGTACTGGCTATTGTTTTCAGTTTTAGATAAGGGAATTGCAAACGTTACACCCTTGTTCAAAAATGCTGCAAAGAAAAGACCAGACCTACAGGCCAGTCAGTTCAACTTTGGTGTGGGGAAACTTGTAGAAAGAATAATTCGGGACAAAATTATACTTGTGTAATCAGTTAATTAAGGAAAGCCAGCATGGATTTCTTAAGCAACATCATTTTTAATTAACTACTTGGGAGCTTTTAGAAAGAAATGGGGTGTACTTAGATTTCCAAAAGGTGTTTGATACAGTGCCACACAAATTTGTGAGGAAAGTTATTGCTCATGAAATAAAAGGGTTACTAACAACAAGGATACAAAAGAAAATTGTTGAGTGACAGGAAACAAACAGTAACAGTTAGTGGGTATTTTTCAGGCTGGAGGAACACCTGTATGGAGTTCCCAGAGTCAGTGTTGAGACCCTTACTTTTCTTAATAATATATTAATGACCTAAAGTTTGTTGTAAAAGGCATTACTTCAAACTTTGCAATTGATGTAAAACTTGGAAGCACTGTGAAATGTAAGGAGGATAGTGTAGAATTTCAAACAGAACATAGACAGTTCGTTGAAATGGATGGATAGGTGGAGATGAAGTTTAATGTGGAGAAGTGAGAAGTGATTCATTTTGGTAGGAAGAATATGGAAAGAAAATATAAAGAATACAAATATCTATGGGGTGCAGAAGCAGAGGGGATCTGGGTGCATATGTACATAAAACATTATAAAGTCATAGAGTAATACAGCATGGAAACAGGCCCTTCGGCCCAAACTGGTCCGTGCTGACCATGTGCCCACTCAACTCGTTCCAATTGCCTGCATTTGTTCCCTAATCCTCAAAACCCTTCCCACCCATGTACCTATCCAATTTTTTTTTTTTAAAAAATGTTGCAATTGTACCTGCCTCAACCACTTTCTCTGGCAGCCCATTCCATGTACATATCACTCTCTGCGTGAAGAAGTTGCCCCTCAGGTCCTTCCTAAATCTTTCCCCTCTCACCTTAAACCTATAACCTCTAGTTTTCAATTCCCCATCCCTAGGAAAAAGACTATATGCATTCATCCTTTCTATGCCCCTCATGATTTTACACACCTCAATAAGGTCACCCCTCATTGTCTTACATTACAAGGAATAAAGTCCTAACCTGAGCAACCGCTCCCTATAACTCAGGCTATTAGTCCTGGCAACATCCTTGTAAATCTTCTTTGCACACTTTCCAGTTTAATTATGTCTTTCCTATGACAGGGTGACCAAAACTATATACAGGCCCGAAACGTCAGCCTCTCTGCTCCTATGATGCTGCTTGGCCTGCTGCGTTCATCCAGCCCTGCACCTTATTGTCTCGGATTCTCCAGCATCTGCAGTTCCTACTATCTCTGATTCGATTTTAACAGCACTCCAAGTGCAGCCTCACCAACAATTTATACAACTGTAACATAATGTCCCAACTCCTATACTCAATTAGAGGAGGCAGGACAGGTCCTGAGTGAATAAAAAATAACATAGGGCATCCTTGGCTTTGTTAATAGGGGCAAACAGTATAAATGAAGTTATGTTTGAATCTATATAAGTCACTAGCTCAGCCTCAGCTGCAGTATTGCGTCCAGTTCTGGGAGGTGCATTTTAGGAAGGATGTGAAAACATTGGAGACAGTATAGAAAAGATTCACAGGAAACGAGGAACTTCAGTTATGTTGATAGATTTTAGAAGTCGGGACTATTTTCCTTGGAGGACGTTTAATGTAATTATTCAAAATCATGAGGGGTCTGGACAGAACAGAAAGGGAGATATTGTTCCAGTTTGGAAAAGGATCAAATAAAAGCAAAGTATTGCAGATGCTGGAGATCCAACATTAAAAACAGAAACTTCAGGACCAAAGAATTATATTGAACTCAAAACAGATGTTGCTAAACCTGCTGAGTTTCTCCAGCATTTTCTGAACAGATTTAATGGGAAAAGAAGCAAAACCGACTAGAAAAAATAATTCTCCTGCAATGAGCAGTTAGGGTCTAGAAAGCACTGTCAGGCAATGTAGTGAAAACAAATTCAGTTAAAGCAATTAAAACAGTCATAAAAGGAAATGTGTAGGGTTGCAGGGAGAAGACAGAAGTGGTGGTTATCCATTATTATTTATTAATTCACGGCCATACAGTCATCGTGTTTTTACAGCACGAAAAGAGACTCCTCCGCCCATTGCTTCCACGCAGAACATCAAATATCAATCTTTTCTAATCTTATTTTCAAACATTTGGCCTACAGCCATATATATTATGGCATTTCAAGTATTTGTCTAAGTAGTTCTTCAATATCTTGAGGGTTCCTGCCTCAATCAATCTATTCAACATTTTAGGCAGAGAGTTTCAGATATCCACAATCCTGTCAGTGAAAATGTTTTTCTTCAACGCCTCTCTAAACCTCCTGCTCCTTACCTTAAAACTGTGCCGCCAGGTTACTGACCCCTCTATTAATGGGAAAAGCTTCTCCCTGTCTATGCCCCTCATTATTTGGTTCACTTCAATCAAGTCCACACCCAGCCTTCACTGCCCTTAGGAAATTAACCCAGCCTGTCTGGTTTCTCTTCACAGCTGTTTCTCTCCAGCCCAGATAACATCCTGGTAAATGTCTTCCACCAGAACTGTATATATTACTGCAGCTGTGACTGAAATAACACTAGATACAGCTCCATCATAACATCCTTGCTCTTGTATTCAGTGTATTTACTAACAAAGATAAGTTTCCCACTTGCTGTCTTAACCACCTTATCTACTTGTCCTGCTGGCTTAAGGATCTATAGACAAGCACACCAAAGTCCCTACGATGTTCTTTAGTTCCTGGAGTCCTATCATTGAACATGTACTCTCCTGCCTTGATAATCCTCCCAAAATGAATCATCTCATGCTTTTCAGGGTTAAATTCCACTTGCCACTGTTATCTGACAAGCCTGTCAGCATCATCCTGTAGTCTAAGGCTTTACTCCTCAGTATTTATTACATCGCCAATTATTCTGCAAATGACATGAAAATATCTCCCACACTCATGTCCAGATCATTAAATGTACACTACAAACAGCGAGGGGCTCAGCACCAAACCCTGTGGTACATCACTGGATACAGACTTCTTTCAACCATCCCCCTTTGCTTCCTGTCACTAAGTCAATTTTGGATCCAAAATGCCCTGAATCCTATGAGCCCTTAACGTCTTAACCAGTCTGCCATGTGAGAAGGCCATACTGAAAGACCATACTGAAGTGCATATAGACTACATCAGCTGCACGACCCTCATCTACACACCTAGTTAGCTCCTCAAAAAATTCAATCAAATTTGTTAGACATGATCTCCTCCATATAAAGCCACGCTGATGATCCTTAATCAATCCTTACCACTCTAAATGGAGATTAATTCTGTCCCTCAGATGTTTTTTCCAATAGTTTCCTTACCACGGAATGTTAGAGTCATCGGCCTGTACTTCTAGATTCCTAGCATCCCTACAGTGTAGAAGCAGACTATTCGGCCCATCAAGTCTACACCAATCCTCCAAACAGCATCCCACCCAGACCTACCCCTCTGCCCTATCCCTGTAATCCTGCATTTCCCATGGCTAATCCACCTAACCTGCACATCTCCGGACTTTCCAGATTATCCCTACTATCCTTTTTGAGTAATGGTAATTACATTATCTGTCCTCTAGTCCTCCGTCACCCTTCCTGCAGCCAGACAGCATTTGAAAACTAATAGCAAATGAGCCCCTGCCATCTCCTCCCTTGCCTCCCACAACAGCCTGAGATACACCTCATCTGGCCCTGGGGAATTATCCCCTCTCAAGTCTGCTAAATCCACTAATGCTTCCTCTCTCTCTCTCTCTCTCAATAGCAATTCATTCAAGTTTATCTCTGTACCAAACTCACCACCACCCACACACACACACAGAGGATAGGAGTATGGCTGGCATGGCCATCAGTCATTGCCCTGGAAAATACTTGTGTGAACTGCTGCAGTCTTTCTAGTGTAAGTGCTGTTAGGAATATGGTTCCACAATTTTGACCAGTGACATGTAAAAACAGGATGATGAGTGGCTTCGAGGGAAACTCAGGGTGGTGATGTTCCTTTGGATCTGCTGCTCTTATTGTTCTAGGTAGTAGGGGTTACAGGTTTGGAAGTTGTTGAAGGAGTCTGAGTGAGTTGCTTCAATGAATCTTATGGATGGTACATACTGCTGCCAATGTGTTTCAGTGGTGATGGGGTGGCAATAAAGTGTCCTACTTTGTTTGGGATGGTATCAAGCTGCTAAGTACCGCTAGACATGTAGTTACCCAGTGACTGGAGAGTATTCCATTACAATTCTGCCTTGCACTTTTGGAAGCTGGATAGGCATTGAGGAGATAACAAGGTGTAGAGCGGGACGAACACAGCAGGCCAAGCAGCATCAGAGGAGCAGGAAAGCTGACATTTCGGGCCTAGACCCTTCTTCTGCTGCATTCATCCAGCTCTACACCTTGTTATCTCAGATTCTCCAGCATCTGCAGGTCCTACTAATGTGAGTCATTGAGGAGACTGGTGGTGAGTCACTCAGTGTATAATTCCCAACCTCAAATCTGCTGGTAGTCCCAGTATTTATACGGCCAGCTCTGTTCAATTTCCAGTGCATAGTACCATTCTGTAAATGCCACACTACCTACAGAAATACAGTATCAGTGTGAAATCCAACGGAGCATTTTTCACTGAATTTTAAATGAAATTGGGTGTTACCAGCTTGTTTGTGGTCATTTGGTTTTGTTTTGAAATGTACAAAAAAGTAGCTTACGACAAACGGAACAGGGATTTGAAAAAGGGAGTAGCTAACACAAGTTGTACTTACTTCAGGGTTTTCATGATGCAACCTTTCCACTGCAGCTAAGGACGTGACAAAAACTGCTGGTTGGCAGTGAACAGTTTTATTTAACTCTCCCTTCGGTCCATTCACACACAAAGAAAGCAGGTCATAGCCCAGGATCTTCTGGGCTGCTGCGAACATTTGCCTGGCGTTGTGGTATTTCTGGAGCCCTTTGCCCATTCCCACGAACTGGCTGCCCTGGCCGGGGAACAGGAGCAATGAGCTGTGCCGGGGCTGCCTCCTGCTCGGCTCTTTTAGCACAGCTTCACTCGGTTCCGGCCCTAACATCGCCGAGATATCCAGGGAAGAGCCGGGAGGGTTCTGGGGCCGGGAAGCAGCCAGCTGCCTGCAGTGGGTGAGGTTTGAGAGCGGGGTTTGCAGCCAGTGTCCCGGTCTCAAGCCAAACGCAGCCAGTCTCAGGGCAACAGAAGCAGGGAGCATTTTAAATGTACCTTCTCCACGGGGGAAAGAGACGTGGAGGAAGTGAACAGGCTTCCTGCAAATCGTTCCCTAACTCTCCAAATGCAGGCGGGCAATAACTAACAGCAGTATCTGCTCAGAGACAAACCAACCACATGTTTCGGTCTCCTACGACAGTGTCACACTCCTGCGCACAGGGGAAACCAGGCTCAGTGCAACTCAGTTCCTACATATCAATATACACCATCTTTCAAACAGACCGCTCCTCTCGACCCTTTGGAGGAAATTACCTCTGCTTACTGAGCAAATCAGTCTGCTAAAACCTCAGCCAATTTCAGCCTTAGCTATTTCGACACCGTTTATGGGGCATTGCCCTGTAGGTAATATTGCCTGTCCTCATGCCTCGAGATGTATTCGCTACACACTTCCTGCATCAGCCACGAACCATATTTATACATAGTATCCATTATTCCACTCTCCTGTCTACATCCGTTTTTGGGTTTATCGCTACTTACCTCACAGTTCACAATATTTCCAAGTTTTGAGATACTTGCAAGTTTGAAATTATTCGTGCACACCTAAAACTTGGCCATTCGTATGATTTTTAAAAAAGTACAGCGGTCATAGTACTGACCTCTGGAGAACTCCACCATAAACCTTGCCCCAGTGTGAAAAGGAATTATTGACCACCATTCCCTCCTGTCAATCAGCCAACTTTCTATCCTTAGTACTTACTTGCCACTGTCACCATTATTTAAATGGGTCTTAAATAACAGTTTTATACAACAGAATGTTTATTAAACGATTTCAGAGGGCAATTAAGAGTCAACCATTCTGCTGTGAAGAAGGGTCTAAGCCCGAAACGTCAGCCTTTCTGCTCCTATGATGCTGCTTGTTCATCCAGCCCTGCACCTTGTTGTCACAGAGTAGGTCCAGATTTCCTGCCCTGACGGCACTGGAGAATTAGATAGGTATTTATAATAATCCAATCATCCCATTGTTATTTTTAATGATTAATTAATTGTTTGACTTTAAATGCTACCTGTTACTATTGTGGGGTTATTTAGTCCAGTCCCATGGTTAACTGCTCCAGCATCATTAAACTACCATCAGCAACCCTTACATTCCCCAATTGTGGAAATGTATCTCAACTGCACCTGAAATATCTGCTTGTTGAAGACAATTTATTTTTTCCATTACAGTTTTGTCTATCAATCTTTGATTTCAATTTATCTACACCAGATTCATTCTCAACCCCACTGAAGTTGGCCCTTCCTCAATTAATACGTCTATTCTAGATTTCCCCTTGTCCTTTTCTTGGCTAATCTAAACTTCATGACACTATAATCGCTGATCTTTTTATTTGATCGTCAAAAAAGTTCCCCGATCCATTTAACTCACCAGCCTCCTCCTTCAATTACTGGAAAATACGGACTCGAGGACTCCTGGCCTCCAGGTGAAGCCCAGCACAGCCTCGGAGATAGCAGAAATTGCAGATGCTGGACACAGTGCGGAACTGGAGAAACACAGCAGGCCAGGCAGCATTAGAAGGGCAGGAAAGCTGACGTTTCGGGTGGGGAAGGATCGCTATGTTGTCCCTAGCACTGACTCGTCTGCTTTTATTTTTTTAATCTGCTTTAGAAAGACTATAATGCTGAACTTTTAACTTAATTTCTTTATTCTTCCCATTTATACCTAAGATCTGGACACCTTAGTAACTAAGATGCCGCCAGAAATGGTGACTTTGTACAATTTTTAATTGTACTGTATCTGAAAACACATGACAATAAAACCTAATTCTAACTTCTAAAAGCTCTTCTTCCTCTCAGGGTTTAGACTATTACTATCCCAGTTTAGATTTGGACAATTAACGTCCTTCACCCACCCTATTACAATCAGCAACAAAATTAGAAATTGCTGAAAAAGGCCAGCAGGTCTGGCAGCATCTGTGGAGAGAAATCAAAGCTAACGTTTGGGGGCGAGTGACCCTTCCTCGGAAGTGAGGAGATTTATTGACAGCTCAGAGCTTTTCCAGCAATTTCTGGTTTTGTTTCTGAATTACACATCCGCAGTTCTTTCGGTTTCTATTATAATTGGCATCGGCTTTTGCATTTTTCTGTAATTTGTTGCTTTATGTCTTTCTACAACTGACAGAATACACCCAATAGGATAAACAGAGCTAGTAGAACTGCCGATGGTGGAGTCTGAGATAACACAGTGTGGTTAAAATTGAATCAGAGATAGTAGGAACTGCAGATGCTGGATGAAGGGTCTAGGCCCGAAACGTCAGCCTTTCTGCTCTTATGATGCTGCTTAGCCTGCTGTGTTCATCCATCTCTGCACCTTGTTAACACAGTGTGGAGCTGGAGGAGCACAGCAGGCCAGGTAGCATCACAGGAGTAGGAAAGCTGACGTTTCGGGTCCGGACCCTTCTTCAGAAATACTTCCTCCAATGTATCTTTTACAAATAGACCTTGTGTTGATCAATGTGTTGCACACTCATTTTTGACTCGTTACCAATTATTTTTAACATTTCAATAGAATCCATTAAAAAAAAGTAAAGATGACATTTAACTATTTTCGCTTGCTGCTTTTCTCCTTAAGATGTATTCGCGTTGTTCACCGAGGACTATGCCTACAGTAACACTCCCTATTGTTACTCCCACAGGAAGTGGACTCTGGAAACCATTCGGTTCCACGGAGGGGGCGGGATCAGATCGGGAAGGAGGTGGTTGGTGATTGGTAGCTGGTTCCCGTGTTTGACAACGGATAGGCGGAATCTAGCGATTGATGGTGGGTGGGCGGGGTCTGATGATTGGCATCCGATGGGCGGAGTTTGCGTATAGCGGTCGATGGGCGGGGCCTGGTGATTGACAGCCGGAGGCAAACAAGACAGTGCGGGCTAAGAGCCCAGAATTGGAGTTGCAGATTTAGGAGGAGGATCGCAGCAGTCGGGTGTGGAGCCAGAAAGTGAAAAGAAATTGTGCTTCACATCTCCGGTAAGCGCAAATGATGCTGAATTTTGCATTTAGATCTTTATTTACTGTGTTGTCCTCATCACGCCTTATTCTTTATTTCTTGATATTTTAAGTCAGTTTATGCAAGTAAACTGCTGAGAATGAGTTCCTCCCAAGGTCTAACAATGTAAAACACTCTATACAATGAACTGCATTTTCAGATATTTACATTGTTATTGAAGTTGCATAACTTTTTGCCCGGTGTGGACTGTGATTGGTCAAGCTGGTTGCGCCCAGCCCTGTTTCGTAACACACAGTTTGTAGTAACTCCTCCTGTTCACTTGTTACAGCAAGAGCCCAAACCACACCAACGGAGTTATAGCCAATTCACGTAGTTTATGGGAGTGCTTCCGTGTAGAATCAGTGTTATTGCAGTGAGTTATGTCACCTAAGTAGTGGTAACGATCCTAACTCTGTTACTGTAATGTGTGCATTGCAGTCCGAGAAATGAAACACCTTCCCAAACTTTGAAAGTTAATTCAAAAAGCCCTTCGGCACAGAGTCTTAATAAATGATCCATGACGATCTTATTGCAACTATTTCTTGCATCTTTATATTAGTGAAGTCCCCTAGTAATACCCTGTTCCATTATTAGAAATGATTTATTCAGACTTCCAGCATCTGCAACATTATACTTTTATTTAATATTATACTCATTTATTTATGTTGCCTCTGCGAGATTAACTATATGTCTGCAGTAAATTTCATCTGCCTTGTGTCTGCCATTTTCACGAGTCTGTCTGTCCTTTTGACTGATCAGTGAATGATCACCCCCTCACACCACGTTAGCCCCAACCGCCCGGACTGGCTGCTGAGGAGCCACAGGACTGAGCATAACAAGGTGTAGAGCTGGATGAACACAGCAGGCCAAGCAGCATCATAGGAGCAGAAAGGCTGACGTTCCCAGGCTGCAGAGAGGCACAGAGCCCCTGACCAAGATCACCGGACTCGATGCCTGACTGTGGCCAATCGCCTGGACAGGTCAGAGGCTACCCATGACTTACTGTGCTGGGTCTTTCTAACTGACAGGTGATTTTTGTGGACTTCAGTGAGAACTATTCCCCTAAGACTTTGAGATGTGCTGCTTGCTTGCTGCACATGCAGTGTGTTTGCCACATAAGCTGCTGGCACATGGTGTATATGTAACAGTGATGTAGCATATTGCTGTACAACAACACGTCCATCCCCTTGTCTGAGGCCCACTGACTAGCTGCCTGGCTGTGTGACTACTCTAATTGGCACAGCAAGGCAAGGTGAGGCTTCGATGCTGTGAGCGTGCAGATAGATGCTAACTGCGTGAGCGCTAGGAGAGCAAGTGAGCAGCTCTGAAAACCAGTCTGGTCCAAGTGTGTGCTGGCTGCCTTGTCTTAAGCTCAAAGTGTATCTGCAGCAGACGTTGCACACTACAGTGCAAATCTGTGCTTCCAGAGCTCCCTGCAAGTGGATCATGGTATGATGTCATGATCGTTGTGAGGGGTTGGCAAATGTCAGACGAGGGATGAATGTGGCTGGAGCCCATGCACCATGCCCTGAGAGACTGTTTGCTACGAGCAACATGGAGGCTCCTCTTGGCCAGTAGTGAGCTGAAGTTGCCCAGTACGTGCTTGAATTTCCATATCATGAATTCTCAGTGTTGAGAATTTGGTAAAATAAGAAGCTGAATATTTCATGCAAAAGTTGTCCTACTTCTCAGTACAAGCATAAAAGATAGAGCGCAATGCTCCCGAGATCGAGATAGGCCTCACCAAACTTTTCACATGATTCTGCCACAAATCTTGCCATAACCCACGTCACTTAGATTCTGCCTTTAGAAACTGCTTTAAGTTTTATTCAGAGTAAATCGAAGTATCAACTGTAGGTATTGTAGATTACAATTACATCTTCTTCTTTTTCCCTAAAAGTAAAAACTGAGTCTATTTCCTTTGCTTTGCTCAACAATATTCTTCTCTTCTGAACACATCAATACCTTGCCAAAGGTCAGTTCCTCCCATGTGAAGATTCTTCGTATTCGTGCCTGAACGATGAATGTCAGCAGGCCATCTAACCAGCAGATGAAGGGAATAGCCAGCCAAAATAGATAGTCATTAGTGGCACCGACGCTGAAACTAAATAGGTAAGTTAGCTCCAAAATTGAATAACCAGTTTCACAGGAAAAGGGAAAGAATTACTGCTGTGCACTTTAGAAGGGTATCAGCTGGAGCACCAGTGATCAGCATGACTCCTCTACATCAGTCATATCTGATGAATAAAATATGAATTTAGCTTATGTTTTATAGAAATTGAATTCTGAGGCAGAAATTTACCCAAGCAATTAAGACAGATTCCATCTCTTTCTCTAACCAGTGTTTTAATTGTTCTATTTCAACTAGTTGAGCTTTTGACAACATCATCTGTCCATCACATGCACCACTTACTCCTTCCATTACATCAACCACATCCATCTCTTTTTTTTTTAATCTACATACTGTTAAAATCCTCCCGTATGCTTTTATCACCTCCAGATTCATTTTCTCCAATGCAGTCTCCCAGTTTCATTCTCCATTGAAAACTTCTTAATTGAAAACTCTGCTGTCCATATTCCAGTCATTGCAAGCCCCATCACTTATCATCTAATTCTTGCTGACTTAAGTTGGCTCCTGGTCCTCTAATGCCCATCTTTGCAAATAAATTTCTCACATCCTTATCCTTCAACACACTGCAAACTTCTTCAGTCCTTCTGTGGCCTTCTTTGCATCCTTTCCTTTGCAAAACTGTTTCAGCCATTCCTACAGCCACCTAGGCCCTAAACATTCAAACTCCTTCCTTCAACGCTTCTGTCTCTCCACCTCCATCCCTTTAAAATACTTCCTGAAAGCTGTCTCTGATTAAAACCTTAGTCAACCCCTTAATATTTCTATGGCTTGGCAGTAATTCTGATTATACTTCTATGAAGTGCCTTGTGACTTTTTTTTTCTATGTTAAAGATGCTATATGAATGTATAAGATAACACTGTGGAGCTGGAGGAACACAGCAGGCCAGGCAGCATCAGAAGAGCAGAAAAACTGACGTTTTGGGTTGGGACCCTTCTTCAGAAATGGGGGAGGAGATGGGGGCTCTGAAATAAATAGAGAGGGGGGGGTGTTGGACTGGGGAAGGTAGGTGGGATGGTGATAGCAGGTAGGTAGTGGTGGGGATTGGTCAGTGAGGTGAGAGGAGCAGATAGGTGGGAGAGAAGACGGACAGGTCAATGGTGGGGATGAGAGGGGGGCTGGTCCTGGGAAGAGGCCGGGATTGGGGAGATTGTGAAGCTAGTAAGGTCCACATTGAGACCATTGGGTTGTAGGCTTCTCAGGCTGAATATGAGGTACTGCTCCTCCAGTTTCTGGGTGGCATTGTTGTGACACTGGAGGAGGCCCAAGGTGGACATGCCATCCAGGGAGTGGGAGGGGGAGTTGAAGTGGTTTGCGACTGGAAGGTGTTATTGTTTGTCTCGAACCAAGCGTAGGCGCTCTACAAAGCGGTCTCCGAGCCTCCGCTTGGTCTTACCAATGTAGAGGAGGCCACATCGGGAACAATGGATACAATAGACCACATTAGTGGAGGTGCAGGTGAACATCAGTCCGATGTGGAATTTTTTTTTTGGGTCCTGGATGGAGTTGAGGGGGGGAGGTGTACAGGCAGGTGTAGCACCTCCTGCGGTTGCAGGGAAAGGTGCCGGGGGTGGTGGGGCTAGTGGGGAGTGTGGAGCCAGTTGGACAGTTCTTCCTCAACTGAGGATTCCCCAGCTCCATGGTCAACGGGGCCCTCAACCAGGTCCGACCCATCTCCTGCACTTCCGCCCTCAGCTCTTCTCTTCCCTTCTGCAACAGCGATAGGGTTCCCCTTATCCTCACCTACCATCCCACCAGCATCCACATCCAGAAGATCATCAGATGCCATTTCCACCACCTCCAGCAAGATGCCACCACCAGACACATATTCCCCTCCCCTCCCTTGTCTGCCTTCCGCAGGGACCGTTCCCTCCGGGACACCCGAGTCCACACTTCCTTCACCCCCAACACCCCCCAAGGCCCTACGGCACCTTCCCCTGTAACCAGTGAAGGTGCAACACATGCCCATTTGCCTCCTCTCTTCCCAGTATCGAAGGGCCCAAACATACCTTCCAGGTGAAGCAATACCTCACCTGCATTTCCCAAAATCTAGTCTACTGCATTCGCTGCTCACAATGTGGTCTCCTCTACATTGGGGAAACGAAGCATAGACTTGGCGACCGCTTCGCAGAACATCTACTGCTTGCAAGAAAGACCCTGAACTATCTGTTGCCTGCCAATTTGATGCACCACCCTGCTCCCTGGCCAACATCTGTCTCTGGCTTGCTGCAGTGTTCCAGTGAAGTCCAGTGCAAGCTGGAGGAACAACACCTCATTTTCCGCTGGGTGACCCTACAGCCCTGCGGACTCAATATTGAGTTCAATAATTTTAGGGCCTAAACTCTCCCATGTCCCAGCCCCCTACCCCATACACCTGGCCTTATTACCACATAGCCTGCATTACACACCCCCTGTTGTGAGTCACTAACAGTCCCCATTAACAACTATTCACCCTCCCAGCCTGATCGTTAGCAACTCCTTTGTCCAACTGTCTTTCTCTCTTTGGGCCCTATCCTATTGTTTACTCCCTACTCCACCCATCTCCCTATTTTCTGCATAAAACTAACGTTTTCCCAGCCACCATCAGTTCTGGGGAAGGGTCACGAGACCCGAAACATTAACTCTCTTTTTTCCTTCACAGATCCCACCACTACCTACCTGCTATCACCATCCCACCTACCTGTTCCAGCCCAACCACTCCCCTCTCTATTTATTTCAGAGCCCCTTTCCCCTTCCCCTTTTCTGAAGAAGGGTCCTGAACCGAAACATCAACTTTCCTGCTCCTCTGATGCTGCCTGGCCTGCTGTGTTCCTCCAGCTCTACACTGTGTTATCTCAGACTCCAGCATCTGCAGTTCTTACTATCTCTATATGAATGTATGTTGTTGTTTCTCCAGCTGAAGTGGTTCTGGTCTGATCTTCAAGAGTTTTATTTGTTTAACTATTTCTCCTGCCTGAGCCTGAACAGAGAGTGTTGATTTAATGATTGATGCAGCTGCCCCAGAGTCCATTCAATTCTGACTTTAGCTGACTAACAGATACTAGAAGTATACTGGACTGGTGCACTACTTCTCAGGTTAAGGATACAAATTCAGCCTGGATTACTTGGAAACCTGACTGATTTATTTTCCCATATTCCCCTTAGTCAAAGGGAAAGATAAACAAGAACTAAAGCTTCCAATTTTGAGATCTGCCAACTAAACGCAATGAAAATTCAAGTTGGTGTTTTCCTTTTTAAGCATGACACAATTCCAAGCAGATGGAATTTATTACTTTTAATCTTTTATTAACATGTTTATTAACAAAGTCATTGGGGTTCACACTTTTAAACCAAAACCTTTTTAATATGTGTGATTAAATTATTGCTGTGGACTCTTTCTTATATGCATCTTTGTTGAATAATGGTCTTAGAGTCATACAGCAAAGAAACAGACTGTTCAGTCCAACTCATCTTGCAGATATTTTCTAATCAACCTGTTCAGAGATGTTATAACAGACGTCTGGAGCAAGTGGGGCTTGAACTAGGCCTCCCTGGCTCTGAGGTAGGGACAATATCACTGCACCACAACAGAACCCTAATAATGGTTTTGCATGTTGCAAGTACCTTTGAGGTACTGGCAACATTGATTGAATGTTTGTCATCTATTCAGAAGTAGATTAGCATAATTGGAAAAAATAATAATTGAAGAAAAAAACTGATCTTCAGCTAGTCCATTTTGCAACTAAAAGGAAATTTGCTATATTGCTGCATGTATTGTTGGATTATTGAAACGGAACATGGCTACAAAATATATTCATGACGTTCTGAACCCTATGAAAGGTTCCATTAGGTATGTGCTCAATATAACCCTGAGTTCAAATTCTTCATTTAATAAATCCTGTTGCTAAATTGAAAAATGGGGAAAAGCACAAATCACCAATCAGGTTCTCCTGTAAGAATAGAGACTGTAAATGCACACTATCAACAAAGTAATTTTAATTAATATTAGTGTTTAATGAATATAGCATTTTAATATTGTTTTTATGATTTGCCTGCCAAAAGTATCACCTGTGAACACAAATTTTCTTTTGTAAAGAAAACATTAATTTTGTCCAAGATTTGAAGACTTTAAAACAAAACAATTAAAGTCATTACATCTGTTTGTCTCACTTAGATTAACAACATGCCATCAACTTGGGTACATGCAATTGGTTTCACTTTAATGCCAACTGTGGGAGGAATTTTTGGCTCTCAGATAACACGGAAAGAAATTGCTGGCTGGTATACAACACTCAAAAAGCCATCTTGGTGTCCCCCTCACTGGGTTTTTGGTCCCGTGTGGACAACTTTATACACAAGCATGGGGTATGTATCTATTTAATTATGCAATCTATTTGTTGTTGCTTTCTTGTATAGAAAAGTTCCATTAAAAACTGAAAAGTTTCTCCTTGGCCTGTTCCAAAATATGGTGCATCTGACATTCTTGAATGATCGTTAACTGAGTTGAAATTTTATGTTTCCACAATTAACTAAGACATATATGGTGTGTGAATGTGACTTCTTTGTTTGTGCTGATTTAACCCTGCTTTATGTATAGCTTTATTCTAATGAGATTCTAATAATCTGATGAGGATCTTGTATGTAACTTAGGCAAAGTTGATCAAAAGATTGGTCAAAAGTTAGGTTTTAAGGAGCATTTCAAAAGGTGGAGAGAAAAGTAAGGGGCATTGGAAGAGGTTTCATGGGGAATTTCAGAGTTTAGGCTGAAGGCAACGGAAGGTCCAGCTGCTGTTGTAATCCATATTAAAATAAGAGATGTGCAAGTATTGGAGGAGCATTGTAGTCCTGGAGGAGGTTACCGACATACAGGAGTGAGACCATGATAATGTCTTTTTCAAATAATAATAATTTTTAGCATATCCGTGCAAAACAACATAACTGCACTTCGCAGGAACTTAATTGCTGTGAATTTTTTTTGGTATGTCATGAAACTGTCCTTTTCTTTCAGATGGAGCCAGACATTCCTGTTTAGTTTAAACAGTTGATGATCCCAATGCATTTTGCAGATTATTTATTCTTCAGAGTGTGTTCATCAGTCATAACCATAGCATCATACAGTATGGAAGCAGTCCCTTCGGCCCAACAGTCCATGGTCCCAAACTAAACTGGTCCCCCTGCCTGCGTATGGCCCTCCAAACCTTTCCTATTCATGAACTAAATGTCTTTTAAACATTGTAACTGTACCTGCACCCATCACTTTCTCTAACAGTTCATTCCACACACCAACCTCTCTCTGTGTAAAAAGGTTGTCCCTCACGTCCTTTTAAATCTTTCTCCTCTCACCTTAGAAATATGCCCCTGGGTTTTGAACTCCCCAACCCTAGGGAAGAGACCCTTGTCGTTCACCTTATCTATTCTCCCCATGATTTTATAAACCTCAATAAGGTCACACCTCAACTTCCTATGCTCCATTGAAAAAATTCCCAGCCTTTCCTGTCTATTTTTATATCTCTAACCCTCCATTCCCAGCAGCATCCTGGTAAATCTTTTGAGTCTTCTCCAGTTTAATAATATCCTTCTTATAACAGTGTGACCAGAACTGCATGCAGTTCTCCAGAAGAGGCCTCACCAAGATCCTGTACAACCTCAACATGACGTCCCAACTCCTATGCTCAAAGGCTTGAGCAATGAAGGCATGCACACTAAATGCCGCCTTAACTACCCTATCTACCTGTGACACAAATTTCACAGAACAATATACCTGAACGCCTAGTCTTTCTGTTCTACACCATTACCCAGGGCCCTAGCATTAACTGTATAAGTCCTGTCCTTGTTTGTATTATCAAAATGCAATATCACGCATTTATCCAAATTATACTCCATCTGCCACTCGTCAGTCCATTGACCCAGTTGATCACCTCATCCAGGTTGGCAAATGGAGCTTCTTTCTCCAGAGAAACAAAATTTATGACATCTTGAGGTGAGAAAAGGCAAAAATTATAGAAGTCACCTCTTTCACCGCATGTAATTGCAGTTTACATGATTGCATGTACAATTCCATGGCACAAATCATCTTGTTGCTGGGAACAGAAGAGTATGAGGAAGCAAATTAACTCCTAGAAAAGGGATGTATTGTTTCACGTCTTGCTTTGTAAAAGACAAATCCATTGTACAGTTATATTGTTGAAAGAAATTTCTGCTACTAAATCTATACCCTTAGGATTCAGTGAAAATAATTTATTGTCATCTAGTAGCTGTAAAATTACCAACATACAGCGCATGCAATTGAATTTTTAGATTATTACACTATCTTTCTTAGCTCTTCGTGTGTGTTTTCTGGGAAGCTGCTACAATTGGAGCATACTGGAAGTGGATTGCTATGTTGTTTGCAGTAGCAAAGCAAATGGCTAATTGATGCAAAGCATACGTAGGCGTTCTGGACTGAATTATTCAATTGTTATTAGCCCACTTGTATCAGAGAAAGAAATATGCGGATTTGCAATTTACCAATATAATCAACTGTGGGTCAACATGAATTGGACATAGAAACACAGAAAATAGGAGCAGGAGTAGACCACTCGGCTCTTCAAGCCTGTTCTACCATTCAAAATGATCATGCTGACTATCCACCTCAGTATCCTGTTCCTGCTTTCTCCCCATATCCTTGAGAGTGAATCCACAGAAAGTGACTGTTCTGGGTGGAGTCCCCAGTTGTGCACTCAGATCATACATGAACCAGCTGGTGAGAGTATTTGCAAACATTTTTAACCTCTCCTTACTCCAATCTGAGGTTCCCACCTGCTTCAAGAAGAAAAGTCAGGTAGTGTGCCTTAATGATTACTGCCTGGTGGCTCTGGTAATGGCTCTCATCGACTCCAGCCTCCCAGATTGCCTTGATCTGCTACAATTCACCAACCATTGCAACAGATCCACAGCAGGATGCCATCTCCCTGGTCCTACACTTATCTCTGGAAGATCTGGATAACAAGGACACCTATGTCAGGCTCTTATTTATTGACATTAGCTCCACCTTCAACACCATGATTTCAACCGAACTCATCTTCAAACTCTGAGACCTAAGACTGTGTCCCCTCGCCCCTGGATTCTTGACTTCAGACCGCAATCAGTAAGGATAAGTGACAACACCTCTTCCATGATAATCCTCAACACCGGTGCCCCACAAGGCTGTGTTCTCAGCCTGTTAATATACTCCATATACACTCCTGGCTGCTCTAACTTCATTTACAAATTTGCTGATGACACCATCATAGTCTCAAACAACAATGAGACAGGGTACAGGAAAGAGAGAGACAGCTTTAGTGGCATGGGACAAAGTCAACAACCTCTCCGTCAATGTCAGCAAAATCCAGGAGCTGGTCATTGACTTCGGGAAGTGGAGTGAAGGGCATGTCCCGGTCTGTATTAATGATGTTGAGGTAGAGGCAGTCAAGAGCATCAAATTCCTAGGAGTAAATATCACCAACAATCCATCCTTGTCTATCCACGTCGATGCTATGGTCAAGAAAGCACACCAACGCCTCCACTTGTCAGACTAAGGAAATGTAGCATGTCCACTTTGACTCTTACCAATTTTTATGGATGCGCCATAGAAAGTATCCCATCTAGATGAATCAGTGTGGTTTAACAACTGCTGTGTCCAAGGACCCAAGAAATTACACAGTTGTGAACACAGCCCAGTCCATCACGCAAACCAGCATTTAATCGTTGACTGTCGTGGGAAAGCATAATTAAAGACCCCGTCCACTCTGGTTATACTGTCTTCCAGCCTCTTCTGTTCAGCACAGAGATATAAATGTTTGAAAACACGTACCAACAGATTCAAGAACAATTTCTTCCCCACTGTTATCAGACTTTTGAATAGACATCTCATATGTTAGAGTTGATCTCTCTCTCTACACCTTTCTCTCTAGCTGAAACATTATATTCTACATTCTGTTCTGTTACCCTGATGTACTTATTTAAGATATGATTTGTCCCTATAACATGCAAAACAGTACTTTTCACCAAATCTCAGTGCATGTGACAATTACAAATCAAATCCAATACCCATTCATCCCTTTAGCCCTAATAACTATATCTAAATTTTTATCAAAAACATTAAATGTTTTGCCCTTAATCACTTTCCCAAGCAGAGAATGTCACAGGCTCACCGCTGACTGGGTGAAGAAATTTCTCCTCATCTCAGCCCTAAATAAATAATCTTCACCCCCAGCCCCCATCTTTAGACTGTGACCCCTGGTTCTAGATTTTTCTTACAGAGAAAGTAAAATGACAGCGAGGCACTGTTATGTTTGACTGTTATCACTATCGTTGACTTATCTTTTTAAATAATATAAACAAATGTAATCCTGATTGCCTCAGATCAGAGTTCAAAATTAATGTGTCCAACCCTTTGAAGGCTCTTCCATCAGATGGGAAAGAGTGAACATTGATCATTAAATGATGCAATCACAAGCCCTTTTTGATTTTGGGTGTACAAGGTAAAATGGTAACAAAATACCTGATGAAACTCAGTCAACATGAAGCACAATTAGAACAATATCTGGTAGATGTGTCTAACTTCTGTTATCCTCCTCCTTTTTCCCTTCCCTAGTCACTTTCCCCGCTCTTGTTGTTTACAACTGAGTTGTCCAATAGCAGGGTAGTGTGGCACATCGTGTTGTAAACCAGCAGTTCACAGTTCAATTGTTGAAAATCATTCATAGTCATTATTGAGAGCTGTCATTCATATTTTGGACTAATTTTATACGATTTTGTTCTCAGCTATGGCTCCTACCTGGTGTGGAAGGAATTGAATGGATTCACTGATAAAGCGTTGATCCCACTTGGTTTATACGGAACCCAACTTGTCCTTAACTGGGCGTGGACTCCTATTTTCTTTGGGGCACACAAGAAGGGATTGGTAGGTGTATAGATGCTGTAAGGAGAAGGAAATTTGTTTGGTGAGGACTATAACATTTTCAACTAGTTAACTATTTGCCCTTGCTAGAAGTTGTCATTCCTTTTCTGAAGGCATTAACTCCTTGCCAGGGTACAATCCAAGGCACTTTTGATGATGTGGTATCTAGGTCAGGTTTTATTTGTTGCAGAATTTAAACCATGTTGGTAGGAAATTTGACTAAAGGGAGCATTATAGTTAGACCCAATCTTGTTATCAATTAAACATCTCTAGACAGGGACACTGAGGCCAATTCAAGCAGCCTTTGTTCATCATTTAGAACCATAGAAAACCATAGAGCCATGCAGAAGTTACAACACAGAAAGAAGCCATTCAGCCCATCATGTGTGCAGTGGTTGTATAAACTGGCTGACCATTTTAATCTGTTTCCAGGATCTGGTCTGTAGTGCCTCGAGCTAAAGCATTTCAGGTGCAAATCAAAACTCTTTTCAAATGATTTGAGGGTTCCTTTCGCAACCATTGAACTATGTAGTGAATTCCAAACACTCTTTTTTTTTTTTTCTCATGTCTCCTCGAATCCTTCTAACAATCATCTTAAATCTGTGTTCCCTGGTGACTAACTTCTCTGAGGAGAAACACATCTGCCCTGCCCACTCGATCAAAGCCCCTTCTTATTTTGTACACCTCAATTAAAGAACCCCTCAACCTCTACTGTTGTAAAGAAACAGCCTTAGCCTATCCACTTGTTCCTTGTTGTTGCAAGTTTCAAGCCTGGCAACATTTGTGTGAATCTCGCTCTCACTCTATAGCAATAAGGTCCTTCCTGTAATGTGATGACCAGGACTTCACATAAAACTCCACCTGTAGCTTAACCACAGCATTATATCCCTGCTTTGGTATTCAATGCCTCACACAATGAAGGAAAGCATTCCATATTCTTTCTTTACCACCGTATCTACTTGTCCCACCAACTACATGTGGAAGTACACTCCAAGATCTCTCAGTTCCTCTATCCCTCTTAATACTCTGCAGTTTATCCTGTATTCTCTCTCCTTGCCTTCCCCCAAGTGCATTATCTCGCACTTCTCCAGATTGGATTTCATTTGCCATTTTTCCGCCCAAACAATTGATGTCACCCTGCAGTTGACCGGCATCCTCTTCATAGTCAACTGCATGGCCAATTTTGATGTCCTCTGCAAACTTGCCAATCTAAATCATTAATAACAACATACAAAGAAACAGCAAAATACTTAAAACTGAGCTTTGTGGAACACCACTACAAACCTCTTTCTATTTGCTAAAACAATAATCCACCATTACCTTATGTTGTCTGTGACTGAGCCAATTTGGGATGCAACTCACCACATTCACTGTATCCCATAGCCTGTCATTTTTACGACCAGTTTGCCCTGTGGCACCTTGCCAAATACTTACTAGAGTCCATGCAGACAATAACCGCTGCACCATCCTCATCAATTCTCCAAAAATTCAATTAAGTTTTCAAGACACAACCTTCCTTTAACAAAACCATGTTGACTATCCCTGATTGATCCATGCCTTTCCAAGTAACAGTTAACTCTACCCTCAATATTGATTCTAGCAATTTGCCTACCACCAAGGTCAAACTGACTGGCCTATAATTATTTTGCCTGTCCTTCACACCCTTCTTGAACAGGGGTACAATGTTTGCGGACTTCCAATCATCTGGTACCTCTCCCATATTTAATGAAGATGGAAAATGATCCTCAGAGCATCCATTATTTTCTCCCTGGCTTCCTTTAAAATCCTACAGTATAATCCATCTGGCCCTGGTGGTTTATCTACCTTCAAGGTAGTCAGTCCTTTCTTGTGTTTAGTTTATCTATTATTTCACACTCCCCCTCTTTAATAAGAATGTCTGTTTCATTCTTTTGTGAAGACCGAGACAAAATAATCATCAAGAATCTGCCAACATCCTCGGTATCTGCACACAATTTCCATTTTTAATAGGTTCAATCCTTTCCTTAGCCATCCTCTTGCTCTTAATATACTAATAAAACATCTTTAGACTTTCCTGAATTTTACCAGCTAATTTTTAAAAATATTCTTTGTTTTCCTAGTTTTCTTTCTCACTACTCCTGTACATTCTATAGTCCTCTAACTTTATAAAGTGTTCCATTTTAAATTGTTATAAGCTTTATTTTACTGCTTAATCTTACCCTGAATGCTTTTGGATAAACAAGGAACTTAAGATTTGCCAGTACCACTATTTATCTTTGTAAGCACCTATCTATACTGTGCTTGTAGAATCTTGCTTTTGAGTGGCTCCCACCGATTTATCACTGATTTTTTTTCAAATAGCTATAGTGAGTCAATTCTTTTCCAAATGCCAGATCTCTTGGTGTTGAAAAGTTTGCCTTCTCCAACTTAGAAGTTTTACTCTTGTTCTGTCTTTGTCCTTCTCCATAATTATGCTAAATCTAAGTATATTATGATCACTATCTCCATAATGGTCATCCATGGCTACTCCATCCATCTGCATAGCTTCGTTTCCCAAGACTAAATCACGAATTGCACCCTCTCTCACTGGGCTTGTTATGTGCTAGCCAACAAAATTTTCCTTTGAATACAATTCAATAATTTTGTTCTGTGTCTTTCACACTGTATCCTAGATGCTATATGAGTAGGTGAAGTCCACAACTGTTATTGCCCTATTGTTTTGCACTATTTGCTCCTCCAATTCTCACCACCTGGGAGTCTACCTTTCCTGTTTCTGAGCTCAACCCATGTGATCTAATTTGATTCCTTTGGTATACCATCCCTTTTTATTATTTAACAGTGCTGCACCTCCAACTTTTTTAAAATCCCTTTCTCTATCCTGTTTGAATAGTGATGGAAAAAGGATTTCATTATATTTTTATCACATTGCTGACCATGGATCTCTCCTGTTTCTGCTTGCAATTTGTGTACATTGGAAGGATCTACAAGTTTATAGTCAACTGTTTAGTAATATTATAAACACACCTTCTTTGGTCAAATCCTGGAATGGTCCTGAAACTGAGAGCATCTTGCTCAGAGGCAGGAACAATACCCACTGCATAAGACCATCCGCTCCCGCATAACACAAACATTATTTAGCAATTTTAGAAAATCACTCTAGTCTGTATGGCAGCACTCCTACTAGATAAATACTCAGCCCACTCCTCTCACATTTTAATTAGTAAGACCTTTGTACTAAAGCGCTAGCTAGTCATGCATTCTCACAACCTCCCCTTCTATCATGGGTAGCTTGCAAGGTGCTTACATTATTTTCTTATAGGCATATTGGAACTGAGGCAGACATTTTAGATGAAATTTAGAATTGTCAAATTGTCATAGCCTTCATTTCATCCCCATCATATCCAAAAAATGTAAAATCAGAATAATTTTGCTGAGCTCAGCTAATTGTCTGACAGGCACCTGTGTGGAGAACTTGATATGAAGTTATAATAAGTGCTCAGTTATGTAGCTTTATAGGACAACTGTTTGTGCTACCATTACTGGGCTTCAGCTTTTCCATTGCGCTGAGAAATGGAATGTATAGGGATAAATGCAACAAGTCCCAATATTTGCTTCAAGCTTTGTAAAATATGGAGGCCTATTCCTGGACAAACAGCCATGCAATATCTTTTTTAAAAAAAAAAAAAAAAAAAAAATTGCTTCAAGAAGATTTTGCTCAGATCTGACAAACTGCTTGCTTCCTATGAGGCAAAAGGATATGTACTGGTATATAGAAAGCTTGGACACACTGTTAGAAAACTTCATCCTTGCTCAAAAAATAGAGCAAGTATAACTAAATAATAGTAATTGGTTTACACTCCTAAACATATCTAATACCCGAACAGTGGGCTAATAATTATATTCCATTATAGGCTTTGTATCAAGTCACTTTAGTCAAATCATTTCGTGTCTCCAACATCCTCCTTAATTATTTGGAACGGATGGAATGCCTTTAGCACATTGGAGATAGTGACATGGCTTATTGGAACTTGAGAGCAGACACGATAATTCAACAGAACAGCGTTATGTGTTTCAAAACTGTTTGGCCTACATATATTGGTCTATCCCATATTACTTTAGAGCTGAAACTGAGCTACAGGAATAATTCCATCTCAGAGCAGTGTTGCAGGCACAGCCATTTTCTTGACAATTCCATTTTTTTGTTGCAGGCTTTTGCTGAATTACTCTGCATTTATGCCACAGCAGCAGCTACAACTGTGACTTGGTACCCCATCAACAAAACAGCTGCTTATCTAATGGTTCCTTATTTGGCTTGGTTGACTCTGGCTTCTGCTCTTAACTACTGCATCTGGAGGGACAACAAGGATAAGGATGATTAGAGCTATTAATTACTGTGGAGCATCTGGAATCCAGCCTGCTCAACAACACTGACAACTTGAAGGATGAAATTTTGTTCTCCTGTCGATTGTATCTACAGAATTCAAAACTAAAATTAAACCTATGGCTTATCCTCACTTCGTTCTGTTTCAGTGTTTATTTTTAGCATTTCTCATAAAGAAAATCGACTGAATAACAACAATGCACTTACAGGAAGCCTTTGAAACTGCAAAGTCAAGGATGTCTTCACATTTCTATCAGTTCTCATACAGTGGTCTGTATTTAATGGTAGGAAGCAAGGCAACCATGTCCATTTAATCATGGAGAAGTCTTGCTTTAATTTCCTTGCAGTGGCATGATGACAAGGATTGTGTCTTGATTATTGAGGGGTGTATGCCATTTAAGACAAATAGCAAGCTAGGTGAACGTGGAAGGTAGCACTGTTAGTCAAGATGGCATTTGTGCAATAGTTAGAGATGTTAATTCAGGAGTTAAGGATGTAGGATTAGTTTGGATGGAGATGGGGAATATTGAACGAAAACAGTCCATTAGTGGGAGTGGTCTTCAACAGTAACTACAATGTAGGATGAGGTATACAAAAGATACTGGGTGCATGTGATAAATGCATGGTAATAGGATGTGATTCTAATCTACATATGAATTGGAAGAGATAGTAAGAACTGCCGATGCTGGAGTCTGAGATAACGGTGTGGAGCTGGATTTTCTGAAGAAGGGTCCCAAGACGAAACATCAGCTTTCCTGCTCCTCTGATGCTGCCTGGCCTGCTCTGTTCCTCACAGCTCCACACTGTGTTATCTATAAACTGGAAGAGTCTGATTGGTAATGCTAGCCTGGAAGAAGAGTTCATAGAATATTATTGGAACAACATGATTGCATTGAAGAGGGTGCAGAGGAGATTCAGTTCTTGGGAGAGACTGGACAGCCTGGGTTTGTTTTCCTTGGAGCAGAGATGGCTGAGGGCTGATCTGATTGAAATACAAACTTATGATGCATAGACAGGGTAGATTATGAAAATCTTTTTCACATGGCTGACATGTCTAACAGCAAAGAGCATAGTTTACGGCGAGGAGTAAGTGAGGGGATCTGAGGAAAAGTGTTTTCACTTAAAGGGTGGTAGAAATATGTAACGTGCTCACCTGTCAGGGTGGTGGAGGTAGGTACTCTCGTAACATTTAAGAAGGATCTGCATGAGCGCTTAAAATCCCAGGGCATAAATAGTCTATGGACCAAGAACAGGTAAATGGGTTTAGTGTACTCTGATGTTTGTTGGTTAACATTGTCATGGTGGGCTGGAAGACCTGTTTCTATGCTGTAGGACTTGATGACTCTATAATACTTTGAGAGATGTTCTTCGAGCAATACTGTGGTACCAAGCAGAAAACATGTTATTTTAGACTTAATATTGTGTAATATTACAGGATTGTTAATGATCTTAGATTTAAGGCAGCCTTTGGTAGCATCGACAATAATATGATAGAATTTTTATATTGAGTTTGAAGGGGATGACTGTGCATCTAAGACTAGTATTTTAAACTTAAATATGGGTGACTACATGGGTATGAAGTCTGAGGTAACTAGAGTAAACTTAATACTAGCCAAGAGAAGTGGTCATTTCAGGATATACTTCAGAATTCTCAGAAGAAGTACAATAAAGAAAAGTTCTAAGGAAAAGCCCCATCATAGTTAACTGAGGAATTTAAGGAAAGATATAAACTTAAGGAAAAAGTAATATTTGTGAATAAATGAGTGAACAGTCAGATGATTGAACAGAATGTAAAGAACAATAGAGAGTGACTAAAAGATTAATCAGCAAAAATAAAGTAAAGTATGAGAGGAAGCTAGCTCGGAATGTAAAAATGGATAATGATTTTTACAGGTATTTTGATAGCAAAAAAGTAAGTAAAGTGAGAGTTGTCCTTTTTAAAGTGTAAGAATGGGGCATAATAGTAAATAAAATGAAAATGGTGGATGAATAAATATTTTGCTTCTGCCTTCATTACAAAGGGTACAAAAAAAAAATCTAGAGGTGTAAGTGAAGGAGGAACTTAGTGAAATGACAAACACCAAGAAAGTGGTGTTAAGCAAACTAATGGAGCAGTGGGCATTCAAGTCCCTGGATCATAACAGAGTTCATTTTGGGATCTTAAAGGTTGCTGCTGAGGAAATAGATTTGTTATACTCTGGAAAGTTTCCATCAGATTAGAAAATAGCAACATAGCTCCTCCATTGACGAAGTGGGAGAGCAGAAAAGAAGGGAAATTATGAACCAGTTACCATAACACCTTTCATAAAGAAGGTAATATAAATTGATCATTAAGTAAGTGGGAGTTTGGGCACATAGAAAAGCCCAAGGTAATTGGCAAGAGTCAGCATTGCTTGTGAATTGGAAATCACATTTAACCAAGTTAGACTTAAATCTACTGGTGTTTGGAAGTGTGAGAGGAGACTTGATTGAAACATTGAAGATCCTGAGGAGTCGTGACAGTTTGGATATGGACGGGATGTCTGTTCTTACGGCAGAATCAAAAAAAAGGCTTCACTATTTCAAAATAATAAGTCACACGGTTAAAACAGAGGTGAAATTTTAGAAGATCGAGTCTTTGAACGCTCTTTTTTAAAAAGATGGTGGAAACGCAGCTTTTGAATATTTTTAAGGTAGAGGTAGATAGATTCATGTGAAGCAAGCAGGTGAAAAGTTATCAGGAGCGGGTGGAACATAGATTTAAGAAAATAATCTGATCAGCTGTAATAGAGCAAACTTTGTTTTAACCGACACCTTATTAACTGGCACTTGATAAATCGGCAAAAATTATGTACCTCAAATGCTGCAATGTTTGAGTATTTATGCTGTAAATAAAGTATAACAGTGATGTGTAAATCCCCTGCATTATGTTTCTAATACTTACTGTGTGCTTTTGCATTGATTTTAGGAGGGTGTTGATGATTTCACATAGATTTTTTGAGGGATGCTGATGTCTCGAAGCTTTGCTTGTTCAGGGTTTACTGTTGTTATGTGGACCTCTTGATTATCTGGAATATTTGATCAACCCAGCACACTCCTGGTCCCATAGGTGCTGGATAATAAAAAATGTTCTTGAATTATTAAATGATGGAACAAGCTCGAGTAGCCAAATTGCCTACACTAGAGTCAACAACAAGTACAAGTACAAGATGCACACAGGTAATTGGCATTGTGAACATGCATGCTGTGAGTGATGTCTGGAGAGTGGCAAGTAAAGGAGGAGGCCTCAGCAACACCAGGATGGGCCAGACATGGCTACACTCCAGCCTGGGGTCTCCCAGTGAGTGAGGAATAGGTCGCCCACAGGCTGAATGCCCCCAGCCCGGATCCACAGGCTAGGCTGAGGCTCCGGGTCCATGGCTAAGGCCCAGGTGCCTGAAAGAGGAAAACTGGTAGTTTCCGCACAGTGTGGTGGTCCTTTCCCCACGTGAAAGTCTTCTTTGTCTCCAGCTTCCAGGCATTCCAGCTGCCTGGCTGGCAGTCTTGTCCAGGAATGATGGTCTTGGCGCAACATGGTGGTGTTCTTCAGCAGGGGCTTCCATCCTAGTATTCCAGCAGCCTGGCAGGCGGTCTTATCCTGTAATGGTGGCCTTCTCCCAGCTTCATCTTCAGGGTATTCCATTGTTCCTCAGTCGGCTTTTCCCGAGCCCTGGAGCTATTACCTGAACCCGACTTGTGAAACTTTTCAGTGTATTTTTCAGGTAAAAGTAGACGCGACAATAAAATTCTATTCTATTCTATTCTAAACAAGTATATGGTTCAATTTAAATGCAATTTGTAGCATTTGTCAAGAAAATGGATAATTGTATAATAGCAAAAGAGATATTGTTCTGAGAAAATATTGTAGAGCACGGAGAAGGGTGTCCGCTAAATAGGGAAAAGTGCTGGAAAACCAGGCCAGTGAAGAAAATTGCAGAATGGGCTTATGATCATCAGCAAAAAGTCATCATTTCATCTGCAGGCCGTCTGACTCAACACCCTCAGAGAAAGGAAGAAAGATGTCATTCCAGAATTCAAGGCCATGTAAGAAGCATGAAAAAGCATGATCTAATGCTCTATCTGAAACCTGCCTGCCAGCTGAGTATGATGATAACAATCCAAATTCATCCAATTTGTCATCCAACATGAAGAATGTATAGCATTGGTCTGAATTGAAAGATGCAGATGAAACACTGAACTTCAATATGCCAGCAAGCAACATCATTATTAATGTTTATGAAAATCAGCTCTTCTAAAGACTGCTAGTGGCTGGACATGAGAAATTGTGGCTCACAGTGGTTCCATCTATATGGGAATAGCACTCAATTAAAGCTGACTATCGCTTTTAAACACAAAACTTTCTCCAAGAAAAACATTTAGAAAGGCGTTGTTGCCCATATTCATGAGAAAGGATGGATGGATCAAAGCAGTTCCAGGATATGCATCAAAGAAGTGTTTAATTTAAGACCAGGAGGACTGTGTAAAGAAAGAGGTTGCTCCTCTGGGACTTGTTGAAATCCCATCTTGTTAACAATGTTGAGAGTAGTGTAAGATCAATCAATACTGGCATAATACTTATTCCTGGCAGTCTTACAAGTGTTTTATGGACCTTGAATATGTGTCTAAATAAACCTCTCAAGGATGGTATCTGAACAATTTTTAAAAATTGGCTCATGAAGGAAAAGAATATTCACCAGGTGTAGAAAACTACAAAGACTCATTTTTAAATTCATTCATAGGCTATGGGCATTCCTGGCTGGACCAGTATTTATTGTCCAATACTAATTGCCCTGTTAAGAGTGAACCACATTTTTTGGGCATCTGGAGTCACAGGTAGGCCAAAGCAGGAAAGGGTGGCAGATTTCCTTCCTTGGAAGATATTAGTGAACCAGGTAGGTTTTTAGGATAATCAATAGTGGTTACATGGTCAGCCTTAGAATGTTTTTTGGTTAATTCTCGGCTTTCATCGAATTCAAGTTTCACTAACTGCCATGGTGGGATTCAAAACCATGTTCCACAGAACATTAACCTGGGGTTCTGGATTATTAGTCCAGTGACATTACACACCCCTGCAATATTGTGGTTAAGGGTTTTAGACTTGTGGCATGAACTTGA